GCTATCTGTATAACTGAGGCCAGACCAGATCCTTCTTCAGGCCTTAAGCTGTACAGGTAGCCTATCTCTAGAACCCATCCTCTTGTGTTAGACCCCCGGAAAACTCAGGCTTCCGGGGTCTCAGCCCAGGACCTCGGTCACCCCAATCACCAGGCAGATTCTAAAGCTTGCTGCAAACTGCATGAGGCTTTATTGTTGTTTAACGAGCTAACCCCATGTTAGCTCGGGTCTTTCAACCACCGGCCATGGTGGATGGCTAGCAAAGACAGTTCAAGCCGGCTGCAGAGAGATCTTGTAGGGCAGCGTAAGGGGAGTGTCTAGGGGTATGCACAGGCTCAGGATTGGTGTGCCTTCAGGCTTAGAAGGCTTGCCCTGTGTTGGTTGGCCAATTGGTTGTTATGGCCCATAGGCCCTCCCAGGGTGGTTGCTATGCTCTTCGAGACATTGCTGTGCCCTTGTCCATAAAGCACACCCAGAGCCTTAAAGCACAGCGCCACCAGCTAACTTCTGATTGGTTCCTTGTCACGAGGCAGGCATCTGACCTCTTAGTGACAAAGGCAAGGTCATGGTGAGCACTTGTTACTGTCATGGCTGCCGAAATGGGGAGTTGGTCCCTTCACTTGGAAGAAATGGCATGTACCCTGAGTCAAGTTTTGATGTAATTATGTTTCCTTATGCACTGGGATTGTATTGCAGCAAGAAACTTTTTTCCCCCAAATTATAGTGTGTTTAAATTTGTTGGGAACCAACCACCTGGGATCAGACTCTCCCAAGTCTTGATCTATTGCAAAGTAATCTGAACAGAGTTAGTTTTAATTCTCACTTCTTTGCCTTTTGTGACCACCTGCAGGATCCCTTTCAGCATTACACCCTATAATCCAAGTACTAGGGAGGCTGAAGTTTGTGAGTTCAAGGCCAACCTGGACTGCCTGTATAGTAAAATTTTGTCCCAGGGCTGGAGAAATAGCTCAGGGGTTAAGAGCACTCATTGCTTTTGCAGAGGACTCAGATTCAATTCTCAGCACCTGCATACTGGTTTACAATCATCCATAATTTGACTTCCAGGGGATCCAGTGTCCTCTTGGAGCCATTGAGCACCAAGCATGTGGTATACATTATGCAGACAAACACTCACATATAAAAAGAATAAATCTAAAAAAAGCTTGTCTTAACCATCCTTGCCAACAAAAAAGAGGAAACTTCAAAAATAAAGTTTCAGACAAGATTATCAAACTACATCCTAAGTACTAGCATATCACGTTAAAACAGATACTAAGCCAGCTAGATGACTCATTGGATGAAGGTGCATGCTGCAATATGATTTCATCCCCTGCATCCATGATGGTGGAAGATGAAAAATTACTCCTAAAAGCTGACCTCCACATGCTCACAGAAGTGTGTATACACTATAAACAAATATAACTTTTGTTGTTTTGGTTTAAAAGCACGTGGCACCATTCCCAGACAAATGTAATTTTTAAAGATATTTGCACTGGAGGCGTAACTTAGTGATAGAGTGCATGCTGCAAAGCAAGAGGCCCTAAATTCAATCCCCAACAAAGCAAAAAACTTGACACACCCATAATCACCTGGAATTGTCTACCCTAGGTGGGAGCATCCTTAACTGAATAACAGCACAGATACCAAGCTGAGCTCAAGGGAGCAAGCCTGTTTTTATTTGTTTTCTCTTTGCCCTTAACCAACTATCTCAATCTCCTAGCACTGTGCTTTTCCTTTATCAACAGAGTAACGTGGAATTGTTATCTAAAATAAATCTTTTCTCCCCTAAATTGTCATTTGTGAAGCTATTTTATCACAGCAACATAAGTGAAACTGTGTGTGTGTTTTCTAGTATTTAGCTACACGTATTGGCACACAACTGTAATCACAGGGAGATTGTGAGTCCAGCCTGAGCTTCATAATGAAATTCTTGATTAAAAAAAAAAAAAAAAAAAAAAAAAAAAGAGGGGAAGAAAAAAAAAAAAACTGACAAAAATCTAAAAAAAAAAAAAAAATAAAAAAAAAAAAAAAACTATGAATGGAGGGAATTCTGGAAATGAAAGATTTAGGAATCTGAACAGGATACATGGAGGAAAGCTTCACCACCAGAATACAAGAGACTTTCGGGTATTGAGGATACAATAGAAGAAATGGAAACATCAGTCAAAGAAAATGTTAAATCTAAAAAACTTCCTGACTCAAAACATCCAAGAAATCTGGGACACTATGAACAGACCAAACCTAACAGGAGAGGAATGAGAAAAATCTCAGTTCAAAGGCCTAGAAAATATTTTCAACAAACTCACAGAATAAAATTTTTCTGACAGAAAGAAGGGGGTTCCTATAAATGTACAAGAACCATACAGAATGCCAAATATACTGGACTGGAAAAAAAGTCCTCTTGCCACATAATAATCAAAACACTAAATATACAGAACAAAGAAAGAATAATAAAAGCTGCAAGGGAAAAAGACGACGTTATATATATTTGTAAGTATATAAATATATATATTCTGTATGCCAGAAGAGCTTAGATCACTGGTGCCAGTCCAGATTCCTATTCCCAGCAATACTTCCAATCACCATAGATGGAGAAAATAAGATATTCCATGATAAAGTAAATTTTAAACAATATCTACATAGGAATCCAGCTGTACAGAAGGTGAGGATTGATGTGGAAGCAGTGCAACAGAAATTTCTAAAACTTATGAAGGTGATCCTAATTAGGTCTCCTAACAATGGGAGATACAGTCTCAACTGGCTATCTCTTGTCATGAAACAGGCTTCCAGTAGTGGGACTAGGCTGTATTCAATTGAGTTGTTAACCAAGAGGATTCCATAGAAATCCCCAAACAACACAGGCTATTTGCTAATAGAAGGGTTGTTCTTTGTTAATTGAGAGTGGGGCCCAATGGTCATATAACACCCACTCAACTCACTGAATATAGAGAAGCCCAGCTGGTGCCTACATGGAGTCTTCACCACTAGATTCTAGTGTCTTTCTTGCTGGAATATACTATGAAGGCTAACAAAAATGTAAATACTACCCCAGTCCTATATCCTTTGACTTTGAAACAAAAACTATCATGTCAAAGTTGGAAATTACAGCCCAAAAGGAATAAAAAGAGTCCCAAGAGCATGCAGAAGAATCAGAGACACACCCATTGTCACAGTCAGGAGTCCCTTAAAAATGCAAAGCCAAACCCTTTGACCTACAACCTTTCATGCCTGTAAAATATTCTAGGGCAATAGTGATACAGAACTTGTGGGCATAGCCAACCCATGTTTGATTTGATATAAGACCCTCTCCATGAGGAGGAACCCACACCCAACACTGCTTAAGTAACCAAAAACTAGAGACTAGATAGCCCACAGATGTAGGGTAAAACCAAACACTCCTGAAAAATAAATAAGCAAGCAAGCAAACAAATAACATTCCTATGGTATTTTGCTGTACTTGTAGAACAGTATCTTATCCAGTCATCATCAGAGAGGCTTCCTATGTCAGCAGATGGGAACTGATACAGAAATCACAGCCAGGCATGAGATGGAATGTCTAAATTTTGCTCTCCATCAAATCCTTCCCCACAGAGCCCAGGGAAATATATAGAAGAGAAGGTGGAAAGAGTATAAGACCCAGAGGGGATGGCGGACAGCAGGAGAACAAGGACCCATCAATCAACTAAGCAAGGCTCATATGAGCTCACAGGCACTGAAACCTCAAGCACAGGGCCTATGCAGATGTATATCAGATCCTCTGTGTATGTATTATAGGTATTAGCTTTGCATTTTTAAGGGACTCCTGACTGTGACAATGGGTGTGTCTCTGATTCTTCTGCATGCTCTTGGGACTCTTTTTATTCCTTTTGGGCTGTAATTTCCAACTTTGACATGATAGTTTTTGTTTCAAAGTCAAAGGATATAGGACTGGGGTAGTATTTACATTTTTGTTAGCCTTCATAGTATATTCCAGCAAGAAAGACACTAGAATCTAGTGGTGAAGACTCCATGTAGGCACCAGCTGGGCTTCTCTATATTCAGTGAGTTGAGTGGGTGTTATATGACCATTGGGCCCCACTCTCAATTAACAAAGAACAACCCTTCTATTAGCAAATAGCCTGTGTTGTTTGGGGATTTCTATGGAATCCTCTTGGTTAACAACTCAATTGAATACAGCCTAGTCCCACTACTGGAAGCCTGTTTCATGACAAGAGATAGCCAGTTGAGACTGTATCTCCCATTGTTAGGAGACCTAATTAGGATCACCTTCATAAGTTTTAAAAATTTCTGTTGCACTGCTTCCACATCAACCCTCACCTTCTGTACAGCTGGATTCCTATGTAGATATTGTTTAAATTTTACTTTATCATGGAATATCTTATTTTCTCCATCTATGGTGATTGAAAGTATTGCTGGGAATAGGAATCTGGACTGGCACCAGTGATCTAAGCTCTTCTGGCATACAGAATATATATATTTATATACTTACAAATATATATAACGTCGTCTTTTTCCCTTGCAGCTTTTATTATTCTTTCTTTGTTCTGTATATTTAGTGTTTTGATTATTATGTGGCAAGAGGACTTTTTTTCCAGTCCAGTATATTTGGCATTCTGTATGGTTCTTGTACATTTATAGGAACCCCCTTCTTTCTGTCAGAAAAATTTTATTCTGTGAGTTTGTTGAAAATATTTTCTAGGCCTTTGAACTGAGATTTTTCTCATTCCTCTCCTGTTAGGTTTGGTCTGTTCAACCCATGACCCTGGGATTAAGAGTCTCATGCTCTTAATTAAGATGAATTTATGGCTCCTGGCAATGCAGGATAAATTAATGTGATTAAATAATAAAATCAAATATGATCATCTTTAGCCTTCAAAATGGTCCTTTCTCCCACTTTACATTCAATCACAAGGAAGATTTTAGGAAATTCAACTTTTTAAAGTAAAACATAAATCTTTACTTTTGTTTTTTTAAAAAATTCCAGAGACAGTAGTACTCACCATAACATGTAGGAATATCTGACCAGCCATCAAAACTACATGTAGTGGAGCCTTTGGAATGTTTATATTTGTTTTCATATCCAGCATGGCATTTATACTCTAGTTTGTCATTGAGTTTAAACCATGTGCTGTTATTTTCAGTTCCAGCATTCTCAAATACAGGCCTATCACAATACTCTAATACAAAATAAAATGGAAAAGTTCATTTCCAATGTGTCAATGGACAATCTGAGCAAGTCCCGTGAAAACAAAAGTGATCTCAGGTTAATATATGATAACAATTAAATACTGTATAAAAACACCCTAAGAAGACCAATAATAAATCATTTTCCTAAAACAGTTATTAAATGAAAAATACACTACCATTAGCATTTACTACCTTAGTTAAAGTTTATAAAACTTTATTTTAAATATAGTTAATGGGCTCATTTTTTTCTTGTATTTATCACATACTGCAAATAAATAGATAAGTGCAGATGTATTTTGTTTTAGGGAAGTATAATGGCACTTGTTTTAATTAAAGTCTCCTATTTAGTAGTTTATATTCAACATACAAATTTAAAAAGTAGATTAGTTAAATTTAAAACAGATGCATTTATTGCATCATATCCAATTTTTTTACTACACAAGAAGAAAATCCAAAAAGGCTTATTAAGTATAATTTAATAAATGTGAATATTACATGAATAATTTTAGTTGCTTTTTCTTTATTAAATTGATCATGGAAAAGTACAATAAATGAAAAATGGAAGTTAAGAAAGCAGTAAATATCTTAAATCACCTTATCATTTAAGGTATGTTGAATAGTTCTTGCAAATTGCACTGGATAGCTTTCTGATAAGTAAGACAAGCTGAACTATTTATTCTTAGAAAACATTCATTAGCTGTAGGTCCTAAAGCACCAAAAACTGCTGCTATCTATAACATTTCTTTCTTTCCAATATTAAAATATTTGGTAAGAATCTCTAAGAAGGAGACCTACTGAAATGGACCTTAACTGATAGTGTCAATATATATTATAAGATTTTCACATATTCTGAGATTTAAAACATGGTTATATATCTTCATGTAAAACTTTACCTTTATATCTAGGAGCAAAGGCTTTGATATGCAAGGCAAAACATCTTTAAAGAGGCACCTGGTCAAAGAATCCTTCGCTATATTTAAAGCAATAGGATATTTTAAAGCATCAAAAAGGGAAAGGAGCTGATAGGCCATAGCAAGAATGAGTCCAAAAGTAAAAACAAAGAGTGAAACATTTTCTTGCAATTTAAAACTCATTTTTCAAATGAAAAGATATCAGCCACCTCAAAAGGAGAATAAAGCTAAACTCTTACACATCACCGGTATAATGGAGACAAAATAATGAAGTACTCACTGATGCATGAGGGCTGAGCTGACCATCCATTTTGGAGGCAGGTAATTGTTCCTGATGATTCTCCCTTGACTTTTACATATCCCTCTTTGCACCTATATTGTGTTTTTCTATTTAGATAATATATACGATCATATTCAGAAAGAAACCCATTCTCAATTTCTATATCTGACTTTAAACATGTCTCTAAAAGGGAAAAAAGTAAGAAAAAGATGAATGCATGCTCAGTAGCTTAAAGGTTTACAATACAAAAACTTATTAAAAATAGCCACTAGTCACTTGTACAGAAAGACTTTGGAAAATCAAAATCATTCACATTACTGAAGCAAGAAGAATAAATCAGAGGCTTAAAGATACACAATATCTTGTTTGAATTTTTTCTAACATAGCCAGATTTAAATCACTCATAAGTCAATCTAAAAATGTGTTGAAATTTGTCATCCAAGTGAATACACAATCCCAAAGAAATTCAGAACTCTGAACAATATTTTTTCTTGCACAACTGGAAAATATAAAGAATAGAAGTCAACAAGGAATATAATTCAATAACAATTTTCACTTTGGTAACTTGGAAAAGGAAATATTAACACAAGAACAAATTGTAAAAACACAAAAAGGTGAATGGGCATCATGCAGAAGCCAAATGAGGCAAAGGCAATGAAGTTGTGATAAAATTGTAAGTAAAAGAGAAGAAAAACAGAGTGTCAGACACAAAAAAGGAGGGAACAGAGAGATAGAGTTCAAAATTATCAATACCTGCTATTAGAAGTCAAAGAGTACCAGACCTGAATTCCAGAGTAGCAAGAAATTAATGAGGTCTATTGTCAATATCATGAGGGCTTTATATATGGAGGATTTTTTTTTCAGAAAATAGCACAGTGGAAAAGATCCTGGATCCCCCCCACCCAGGAAAAAAATGGTATTTTGCTGAATTTAAGAAACAAAAATCACTGTTATAAAAGAGATTAGAGCCACTGGACCTGTGGTATAAAAAAATCAGAGAAGACAGAAAACACAGATCTCCACCACATCCTCTAGCTCCTCTGGCCAGATGCAAGCACACTACAGTACAGTAAAAGATTCTGTGATGCAAAAGCACAGGAGAAGAAAAACAACCACAAATTATAAGGTCAAAGATTCCCAGAACACCAGCAATGTGAGATACTCAAAATTGAAAAGTGGAACAGTTCCTTTTGATCACCTAATCCTTTAGTAAGATCCCAGAAGAGGTTTATCAATATACTGAAAACGCTAGTTGTAAAGAAAAAGCTCCCAAACCAGTCTAAATTAATTTCAAAGGAATAAAATGATCAATCAAACTCAAGTTTCCACTAGCACTAGCAGCAAGTGTTCTAACAAGGTACTGCTTCTTTATTCAGAAAACTGTGGTGGATGTGAAAGAAAATACATTGTGGCAACATCTTATTCCCCCAAGGAAAATTCCCAGAAAATCATTAGGTAATGCTCACCCACTGCATCCAAGTATCAATGAGAAAACCACATAAACAAACCATAGGACAACAACAAAAACCATGGAGTACCCTGGATACGCTCAACATACACATTAAAATCCACAGTAGTCCCATATCAGTTTCCCAGGATTCTCTTAAGGAATTAGAAAAGGAATAAATTAAAATGTAAATGGGTAGATGTATGTGTACGTGCAGGGCGTGGGGGGTGGGGGGGCAATCACATCCTGAGCTGAAATAAGCAGAAAAGTAAAAGGAATAATGTTTATAATACACACATTCACACATTCATAATAAAGTAAACTTTACACATTGATACAATAAAAAGATCCTTAAATTCATAACATTTAAACAGATTTAACAAAGAAAAGTAGAAACGGAACAAAACAGGAATGATGGGAATTATATATTTTTTGCATATTTTAAAAGAATAATCAGAATACTATGGATTTCCATGGTAATTAATTTCACAAGTTAAAAGTTAATGAAGTTTTAAAGCACTGACTATACAATTCACTCAAGAAAAAAATATTTAAGATGAATATAATTGCTTCAATATGAAAAACATGTACTAGCTAAATATTTACAGAATAGCAAAGGAACTTTTGCTGCACACAACAGAACATTTCTATAAGAAACCAAATGCCAGGCTGACCACTCTCTCCATATCTCTTCAATATTGTACTTGAAGTTCTATAGGAAGATCCAGTCAGGGGAAGAATAGAGCAGAGCAAGAAAAGAAATACCATCATCGAGGGAGCCATTATAGGTTTAAAGAGAATTCTGGGACCAGGGAAATGTACAGAGATCTACAAGGTTGACCCCAACTAACAATATAAGCAATAGTCTAGAGGGTACCTTAAATGCCCTTCTCCGATGAGATTGATGACTACCTTATATGCCATCCTAGTGCCTTCATCCAGTAGCTGATGGAAGCAGACACCCACAGCTAAACACTGAGCTGAACTCTAAAATCCAGTTGCAGACAGTAAAGAGTGATTTGATAAGCAAAGGGGTCAAGACCAGACTGGAGAAACCCACAGAAACAGCTGATGTGAACAAGGGGTTGCTCATGGACACCAGACAGATAGCTGGGAAACCAGCATAGGACTGTTCCAGACCCCCTGAAGGAAGAGGTCAGTTTGGAGGTCTGGATAATCTATGGGGCTACTGGTAGTGAATCAGTATTTACTCCTATACACAAATGAACTTTGGGAGCCCTCTCCACATAGAGGGATACTCTCTCAGGCTAGACACACTGGGGAGCATCTAGGCCCTCCTCCAAATGATATAACAGACATTGAAAATCTCACATGGAAGGCCTCACCCTCCCTGGGGTGCAGAAAGGGGTTAGGATAGGGGGTTAGTGGGGGGCAGGAGAGGAGAGTAAGGAGAAGGAACTGACATTGACATGTAAAAAACGATTGTTAATAATTTCAATTTGTTAGGAAAACAAAACATTCAAACAACATAAAAAGAAAAAAGAAAAGGAGATCAAATTGGAAAGAAAGAAGTCAAACTTTCACTATTTGCAGATGATATGATAGTTTACATAAGTGACCCAAAAAACTCTACTAGGTAACACCTACAGCTGACAAACACCTTCAGCAAAGTGTAAGGATACAAAATTAACTCAAAAAAATCAGTAGCCCTACTATATAAAAATGATAAAGGCAATGAGAAAGAAATCAGATAAACATCACCCTTTACAATAGCAACAAACAACATAAAATATCTTGGGATAACACTAACCAAGCAAGTGAAAGACCTGTACAGTAATAACTTGGAGTCTTTAAAGAAATAAATTAAAGAAGATACCAGAAAATGGAAAGATCTCACATGCTCTCAGATAGGTAGGATCCACATGGTAAAAATGACAATCTTGCCAAAAAAAATCTACAGATTGAACGTGATCCCCATCAAAATCCCAAGACAGTTCTTCACAGACCTTGAAATAACAGTGCTCAACTTCATATGGAAAAACAAAATACCCAGGATAGCTAAAACAACCCTGTATAATAAAGAAACTTCCAGAGGCATCACCATCACTACCATAGGAGTGGACTTTAGGAGCCCATCCCACATGGAGGGATACTCTCTGAGCCTAGACAAAATGGGGTTGGCCTAGGCCCTATCCCAAAGAATATGACAGACTTTGAAGACCCCCTATGGAAGGTCTCACCCTCCCTGGGTAGCAGAAAGGGAATGGGATAGGTAGGCAGTAGTTGGGGGGGGGCGTGCAGGGCAGGAGGGGAGGGAGAGGGACCTGGGATTGACATGTAAAATAATTTTTTCTAATAAAAAACGAAAAAAAGATTAAAATCATACTCAAAATAGCCTTTAAAAATAAAATAAAAATACACAGGCTAACAGATTGTATACAAAGATGGAATCCATTCTTCTGCTGCATACAAGAAACACACCTCAAATTCAAAGACAGACCTTACCTGAGAGTAAAGGGTTGGGATAAGATATTCCAATCAAATGGACCCAAGAAATGAGCTGGGGTAGCTATCCTAGTATCTAACAAATTAGACTTCAAACTAAAATCAATCAAATAGATGAAGAAGGTCATTCCATAATCATCACAGGAAGAAATCTCCATCAGGATGAAATCTCAATTCTAAACATCTATGCCCTAAATACAAAGGCATCACCATTTGTAAAAGAAACATTATTAAAATGCAAATCACAAGTAAGACCTCACACAGTTATACTGGGAGAATTCAACACCCCACTCTCACTACTGGACAGGACCACCACACAGAAACTTAACAAAGAGACAAAGCAACTAACAGAAGTTATGGCCCAATTGGGATTAACAGACAACTATAGAACTTTCCATCCAAACACAAAAGAATATACCTTCTTTTTAGCATCACATGGAACCTTCTCAAAAATCGACCACATAGCAAACCTCAACAGATACAAAAAAAATTTTTTTGAAGAACCCCCTATGTCTTATCAGACCACTATCCTTTAAAGTTAGAATTCAAACACAACACAAATTGAAGAAAACCTACCAACTCATGAAAATTAAACAATATGCAATTGCACCATTTCTGGATCATAGGAAGAAATAAAGAAATTAAAGACTTCCTTGAATTCAAAGAAAATGAAGACTCAACATACCTAAACTTATGGGACACTTTGAAAGCAGTAGTAGG